GATCAGACTTTAAAGCAGATAATCCAAAATTGTGCTATTCAGTATGGTATCCCCTAGCCACATGTGGTCCTTTAAATTTAAAATTAAGTTAACTGAACGTTCCTTATTTGCTCTAGCCACTTTTCAAGTGCTTAATAGTCACATGAGACTAGTGGAGAACTTATTAGAAGCACAGATCAGAAATCATCTCCTAATCACAGGAAGTTTTACTGAATAGCGCTGCTCTATTCTAGATGGTAGAAGACCTCGTAAAGGCTACATCCAGGTGAGAGACGGGGCTGCAGAGATGCACATGCTACTTGTGCAGCTGAAGTCTTTTATTGAGAAAACTTCCTGATGGATCCCTCCTATTTTTGTTTTTATTTTTTGGGCTAGAAAAGTAGAGGCTCCCAGGAATGGTTGGAAAGTAGAGAATGAATATTTAATATGCCACATAATAAAATAACAAGAATTCAGGAGGCTGCTGATAATCTTGCAGGAAGAAGATGTCTGAGATGTCTAGGAGGATTCAGAAGAGGGGACAATGGGAGAGGTAGTGAGGAGTCAATAAGACAGAAGGCAGGTGGGAACCCTCAGGTAAACAGTTGCTAAGCAATTCCCATGGCCAAAAGGAGACCAAAAAACTTAATGGTTGTGTTTCATATTCAAGTTGATGTTGTTACCTGTACTGTACAAGGCAGAATGCTGTTCAGTTTTCCCCTAATCTTCAGTAAGAATCTTTTATACACAAGAGTCATGACTCAGTGGAGCTTGGAGGCTATGAGAGAAACATGAAACTTCAGATAAAGAAAAGGAAGCAGACATAAGGAGAAGCAGTAAGGAAGGCTGTATACTTGGTGGGAGCAAGACATTACAGCAAGAGAACCTCCAGTCCCTTCTCCCCCTAGTAAGCCCCAGAGATGTTAGAGAGGACTTGTGGGAACCTGTAATATTAGGGATCAGAGTTGGAGCTATTTTGATAGGAAAAGTAACCCCTGGAGGTAGGAGAATTGCAGGCCATCCAAGTGACAGATACTTGGAGCATACATGTACACATAGGACATATGTTTATATTTGTACTCCAGTATAGAAACTACACAAGGTAAAAAAGAATTGGTCAAGAAGTTTAAAATTAACACTTTTGGGGGCGCCTGGGTGGCTCAGTCGTTAAGCATCTGCCTTCGGCTCAGGTCATGATCCCAGGGTCCTGGGATCGGGTCCCACATCGGGCTCCCTGCGCGGCGGGAGGCCTGCTTCTCCCTCTCCCACTCCCCCTGCTTGTGTTCCCTCTCTTGTTGTATCTCTCTCTGTCAAATAAATAAAATCTTCTAAAAAAATAAAAATTAAAAAATTAAAATTAACACTTTTGAGTATGTACTACATGCTAGGCCCTTCTAAGCACTTTATAGGTACTAACTCATTAAATCTCAGTACAACTTTAAAGTATTATTACAATTATCTTCTTTTTATAATTAAGAAAACCGAGTAAGTAAGATATAGAACATAATTCAAACCCAGCAGTCTGGCCTCAAAGCAATTACTCTTACCTACCATACTATGTTGCCTCCCAAACTAAAGTTTAAGAAACTGGTTAGTAAATCGTTATTTTCTCTTTTCAATGAAATATAAACAGAACAGAATTTTGGAGTCTCTGATGCTCAATAATTTAGCATTCCTAATAAAATCTGAAGAAACAATCTGTTAGATGTTTTTAAGCTTCTATTTCTGGCTAACTTACAGGCTAATTTATGGCAAATAAGGGCTATTAATATAAACAACGTAAAATCCTTAGAAAGGAAAAAAAATCTCTGTTATCTGCAACAATCTAATTCTTAATCTTATTTGTTAAGGTCACCAAGCCTCATTCTGAGGTATGACAGATACCATGCAAAATTTCAGGAACGAGTTGGAATTATCTTTGCATAATGCAATGAGATAACCAGAAAAAGGATAGTTTCTAATGAATTCAAAGTAATAAAAATTGATATAGAATTGTAAAGATTTCTGAGTATTCTGTTTGTAATACTGAATAATGAAAGATAATAATAGATAAATAAAAATAATAAAAGAAAGCTGAAGAAGAGTTCTACGTTGAGACTATTTCTAAAGGATGTTCAATTTTGGGGGATGGGGTAACTGGGTGGGGGACATTACGGGAGGCACATGATGTAATGAGCACTGGGTATTCTGTAAGACTGATGAATCACTGAGCTCTGTCTCTGAAATGAATAATACACTATGTGTTAATTAACTGAATTTAAATTAAAAAAAAAGAATGTTCAATTTTGTCCTTTTGGGGGTAAGAAAATTTACAGTTGTCAAAACTATATTTGGGATTCAGGTACTGGTTTAGAATCTATCATGAATGGATTTAACAATGAGCTTTAGTTAACATAACCTGTGTAGAGATGTGATTTCTATCATTAGTTCAATGCTATCTCTTTTAAATAAGAAAAAAAAAAACCAGCTGGGCTAATAGTTCTGGGCTCTGTTCTGGCTGATAACAAAATCTATCAAGAGCAGTTCAGTTGCTGATAGCCCAGGTCAAGGGCATTATCAGAAAGGCCAAACCCATGGGGCGTCTGGGTGGCTCAGTAGGTTAAGTGTCTGACTCTTGATCTCAGCCCAGGTCTTAACCGCAGGGTGCTGAATTTAAGACCCATGTTGGGCTCCACACTGAGTGGAGCCTACTTTAAAAAAAAGAAAAAGAAAAAAGGCCAAACTCAGTGAGAGACTAGGTTGCTGAGATATACATCTTACTTTTTCGGATGATTTCTAGTTCCAATTTGACCTCTTCACAACTTCACCCATAAAAGAAACCCACACTAAGGAAAGGTGGCCCAGCATAGCAAATCCTGATTCAAAAGGGCTCATTAACATCATAGTCATCCATATCCTCATTCATCCTGAGGGAGAATGACAAAATGGGAAGAAGTATTCTACTTGACTCTAAACCAGGGTAAGAACATTGAACATCTGAGTGACTGGTGACACTTTAATCAATTCCTTTTTATCACAATACCCAATCCAAATAAACAGGTCTTCCTAGTTTTTCTTTAAGTTCCTTGTGTAACTGTCCTGAATTAGGTAAAAAATCTGGGGATAGACTCATAAGAACTTAGATAAGATGGTCCTTTACTTCTTAAACTACTTAAGAAGTAATTCTACAAGCAGCCTTAAATTTTCCATATGATCCAAGTGAAAGTAAGAGAGAAAGCAATGCTAAATAGGGTACAAAGCTCTAAAAGATTACATTCTCCTTCCTTTACTAACTGTAGCTGGGGGGGGCAGGGGGAAGCAGTACTGGCATTCACACAGACACCAGAGTACAAACCAACAATGTTTCTTTTTTACTTAAAGAGCATCCAGGCGGCGTCTCTCAAATAAATAAATAAAATCTTAAAAAAAAAAAGCATCCAAAGCTCTCTTTTGCAAGAAGATGAAGTCCAGGCTTCCTGGCACAGTATGCAAAGGTCTTCAGTAAGAGTGCACTATCAGCGTAGAGAGGTGGAGCCCTGAGAAAGCGAACTCCAACTACTCAGGTGGGTAGGGATTTAAGGCAGAGTAAAGCCCAGGGGATAGAAGCCTATGGTATTATTTATATATATATAATATACATATATTACATATATATAGCCTATATGTAGGCGAATACAAGCAGCCAGTTCTTGTGGACACTTAGTGAGAGGAAGATTATAGAAAGGTACTGAAATTTAACCAACTGAAATTATTTAGAACTCTAGGGTGTACTCAGCAATGGCCTGTCACAAATCTACTTATAGGCTTCCATTTTAAAATTGCGATAATTTTGTATTTTCTCTTCTATTATTTTTATTTTTAAATAACTGTACAAATAGGATATAAACTAGTGAGATGACTGGAGATATTATTTCAAGCAGGACTTGTCTCATAAAACTATAAACACCACCCACAAATGAGAGCTGCATATGTAGCTTTAAATTTTCTAGTAACCACATTAGAAAAGAAAAAAAATGGTAAAATTAACTTTAGTAATAAATTTTATTTTACCCAATATATCCAAAATATTATCATTTCAATGTGTGATCAAAATTTTAAAATGACTGATATTTTATGTTCCTCTGTTCACACTAAATCTTCAAAATCAGTGTGTACTTCATATTTTTGGCACTTTTCAATTGGATTAGTCATATTTCAAGCATTGAAAAAGCCATATAAAGCTAGTGGTTACCATACTGGACAGCACAGATATGGGAGAAAACCAGAAGCTTTTGAATACACAGGCTTGAATTCCAGTTCCATAACTCACTAAGCTATATGACCATGAGCCAGTTATATAAATTCTCTGAGCCCTATTGTTCTTATCAGTAAAACAGGAATAATACCATCTGCCTTACAAATTTCTTGTAAGAATTAGAGATAATATAAAGTACCTTGGCACATTATTGCCTGGCATATAACAGAACTCAATAAAATCCTCCTCATCCTCATCATTATATAAATTGAAGAAGAAAAGAAGAGGAAGTACCACTGTAAAAAGGCTTAAATTCAAACTTTAAAAAATGTGGAGAAAAGCAGGAAAAGATACAAGAACTTGAAATAAGATCATCAAAATGTTTTCTAACTGAAATTTAGTCATCAATCCACTATTACCCATACAAAATAAAAATAAACAAAACCTATATTTTACAAAATTATGAGTAATGCCAAAATAAGGTACAGCTAAACTAGAGATATGGTAGCATTTGTCTTTTTTTTCTTTTAAGCAAATTTGCCTTCTTGATTATGGTTGCCAAGGCTAATATTAGTTTCTATTTCTACAGGGGGAAAAATGGCTAGAAAGTTGAGTAGAAGGTTATCGGCATGAAAATAGGACACTAAAACTGCTTACAAATAACCTACAAAGACTATATTATGCATATTGATAACCAAGCATTCACTATATAATATGTAATGATAGTTTTTCAAATAATTGTTACAGAATATTTTCATTCACTTATATAAGAAATCAAAATAAAATACGGAAAATATATAAAACATACCTCTGATAAAAATGTTTGGGCCGATTTCTGAGCTCCTACATGGAGCAGATATTCATATACGTAGAGTGCTAACCTGGAAAATGAATAAAATATTTATTGAGAAGAGGTGTACTTAACATTCATTCTTTAAATAATGCACATACCTTTTCATTACAAAAATATCTTACACACTAACAGTGACAGAAAATCAACTCTTCCCATATCTTTTCTATGAGAGTTCATACATGTCTGTTCAGAAAGAACTTAAACTAAATAACACACAAAGAAAAAAGGGAAATGTATCTTTTCTTGAAAAGAAACATCTAAGTAGGGATTTTTTCCTTGGGTCATGTCACTTATCATAACCTCATTCCCTTTGTTATACCTAACATAATTGATAATTTATAACCCAATATTAATAATCTCCATAACATATTTTAAAGTATAGTTATTATCTTTCATTATTAAAATAAATGAATTAAGTAATTGGACCTTTCTAACAACTTTATATGTCCTTCAATCTTTTTGGTGAAATTAACATAAACTCCAGCTGTTTGCACACCTGTATGCCAAAATGGGTGCTAAAAGCTCATTTTAGTATCTGTTCAGGCAACCTCTCCTTACTCTTTAGGTCTGATTGTTAAACCAGTAATATAATATATTAGCTTATAAGGATGCAAATTTTCAGCAAACCACAGCATTAAGTAAAGTTTAAAAGCATCAAATCATATTAAGCATTTGGGTACTTATAGTTTAAAGGTTAACACAAAATTACATATAAATTTATCGTTCAAATACAGAATATTAAGTATGCACTATACACTTGTACTACTCTCATTATCTTGTGGATTCAGAATTTTAAGCTACACCATGTGGCTCAATTTCAGTTGAGCTGTTAACAAAATATTATTCATAAACCCAAATTAGTCTGAGGCAGTATTTTTAATGATATCTTGGACTGATGCCCAGATAGCTCACAACAGTTCAGTTTCTGCTACACTGTATTTACCAATATTAAGCCAGGTTTACAGTAAACAGAACAATGTAATAATAACCACAATTCTGTAGAGCTACACTATTTCTCTTGCCAAGTGAATTTTTGATTGTTAAAGATTGATAGCATTTGCAAAAATGAATATTTTCTTCGTTTTCATGAAAAAACATCATGCATGTAATGAAAAGAGAAAGCCTGTACAAATTCAATTGCTCTGTCCATTTAGTTCTTTCCCCATTCCAAAACTGCCAAACGTTTAAAATGAGAATTACTCTGTGGTTACTAAGTACCACAAGAGAGTAGACAGACATCTGTTAAAATTAATCATAGATAAAAAGTATGTTATTAGAAACATCTCCTAACCTCTTCAAGTTGAATGACACTTCTTAGATCATGCTTCTCAACCCTTTTTCTACCCTAATACACATGAGGGATATGACATGCTTCTTTCGATAGCAATATCTCCTGTGGAAGTGTGGTTCATCCCCAAAGTACATAACGGATGAGAGAATTGGAATATTCCTATAGTTTCAAACAAACAAGCCCTACTGGTGATTCTTACCACAACACACATATCCCACACAACCTGTCCCTCCACTAACTACTCCCAACCCCGTCACATGATTTCACTGACCATGTTGGCAAATCTCGCCTCAAAAAAGAGAATTATTTGTGAATTTTTCCCGGAGACACTGTGAAGCCTCAAATTTGCCTGCCAGGGATGGTGTCCCCCTACTGCCTGGGAAGAAACCTGGCCCCAAGTAACTTCTTACAGTTTGTCAAATCTTAGGCCTGACACCAAACCAGTGTTAGAGGCTAGACAAGGAACCCAGGCCTAAGTCGAAGGGTGAACAATAGGATGTTCCACCAAACTTGGAAATATAGGAAGCAAGAGGCAGAATGTAAAGCAGAGACACCATGGTGGTCCTTGGGGGTAAGAGAACAGACCCCAGAACAGTCAAGGCCAGAGCACAACTGTTGCTGTGTCAGTTGACACATGAACACCTTGCAATGAACACCATTCCTTAAAGTTAAGCAAATCACTTCCTCATAATCTCTTCTTTGTAATATTAAAGGGGCTAATATACTTCTACTATGTTTTCCTCCAGTTAATCAGGTAACAAAAAGGATATCTCTTTATAAATGGAATTAAAAGCAACAATCTCTACTCTTTCTCTATGGGTATAAGACAGTGATTATAAAAAATGTATTGGAAGGGGCATAGAATCAATGGGGGAAAGGAGTTTCAAATGACATAACAAAAAATTCTGAAGCATCCTCCAAGTGGTGTGCCTGTCCGCCCACCTTTAGAATCTGTGCTGTAGCAGCACATCGTTACCAACAGGGTGATACCGTGGGACAGGGCTGAAAAAAACCTATCCATAATGCCACCTCTTATGTCCAAGCTCTGTCCCTTGAACAAGATTAATGCTTCCAGGCAGCCAAGATCTATGCTGTAGAAAGAGTGGCAGGGACTACTGCATGGGTGAACAATTAACTCTACTGCCATGATGACTCCCTAATACATCACCAGCAAATCTCCAATATTTTAACTACCATCTCAGTGCAGATTTTCCAAACCTATTTCTGTGGCCCTATTGTCTCTACCAAGCTCCAAACCTGCTTCTCTAAATTACTGTTGGAGGTTCCTAACAAGATAATTCTCTTTTAAATTGATCACATCCAAAGTTAAACTCATCTTCTCCATCTGTTTATATATAGTACCTGTGCACACCTTGAATGAAACAGAATTTGAGTCGTTTCCTCATTTGCAAAATGGAAAGAATATTTTTCTTGTAATATTGTTGAAAGAATTAGAGTACAATGATTGTTATAATTTCAACTAACTCTCTCACATCCGATATTACCAGTCATGTGCTGGACTCACATTCTCTCCCACATTTGCCAGTTCGTTCTATCCCCCTCCTGCTCTTGGCAGACCGTTCAGAACCACAGCCATAGCAGGAACATTTGCTCTAGCTTCAGATACAGGTACTATATATTTCCCATCAGCTCCCCATAGTAGAGGCATCAGGGCCACCAGAAATAAGAATCTCCAGAAGGTTCTGGGGAAAAAGCCCTGCAGTAAAAGATACCATTTGAACACCGATGATTCCAGGGGAGTGGGGAGTGACACTTATCCACCCATGTAGGTAAATCATGGCATGGTCCCTTGCCCCGTGGCATGAGATCAAAAATATAAGACAACATTCTATTTGGATTCAATTTCTACTGAACAGAAATTTAAAAAAATAAATACTGAATATACAAATATTTAAACTGTGTATACTCTCAAATTAACATTTTCTTTTTTCCTTTTCAGAATCTTTAAAAAACTTAACTACTTTTGATAAATTAGAGTGGCTATTTAACCTAATGGATAATAATGTGATCCAAATACATAAAAAAATTAAGAATCATGCAGTAAGAATTTATATACATATACATATGTATATGTGTACATACTGTCCATAGAAACAGAGTAGAAGGAAACATGAGTTATAGCTAATGGTAGAAACATTAATAACAATAAGAAGAAGTAACAGATGAAGACCAGCTGGTAACAGACAGACAGGAAAAGAAAACCCAAACAAAGCCTTAAAATCTTAGGGCCTACTTAAGACTGGAAGCAAACATCCCCATCTCCTTCAGAAGACCTGAGGGCAACTTTCCTTATAGCATTGTCCTCTGATTAACAATCATATAATGGTAGCTTTTGTCTGCAACAAAAGTTTTAAACTTTGTGCCACTCATACCATACAATACTCTAAGATATTTGGCTAGATAAAAATATGAAACCTCTGATAATATTTTCTGAAACATTTTTTTCCCAGTTTGTTGTTTGACTTAATTTTGGTCAGGGTTTTTTTGGAGGGGGTGGATTTAGATATTTTTAATTAAAATTTTTTTAAAGATTGTATGTATTTATTTGACAGAGAGTGCGTGCGCGCGCATACAGCAGGGGGCGGGGCAGAGGGAGAGGAAGAAGCACAGGCTCCCTGCTGCAGACTCAGGGCTCAATCCCAGGACCCCGAGATCATGACTGAGCCAAAGGCAGATGCTCAACTGACTGAGCCACCCAAGGCACCCCAATCACTACTAATTTTAAAATCTAGAGAATGTTAAACATCACTGTGAATCAAAGAAATATATATTAAAGCAACAATGGGATTTAAATTCTTACTTAAACACATAATATGTGAGGGAATGGATACTCCTACTGCTGATGACAGTAAACTGGTATCACTGTTTCAAAACCAATTTGGCATTAAGTATACATCAAGAATTTGTAAAAAGAAAAAAAATGTTTACACACTTTGACCCAATAGTTCCATTACTAGAAGTCTAAAGAAATTATCCTAAATCCAGAAAAGCTTAATGCACAAAAATTTTTAACCAAAGATTATGTAGAACAATCAAAGAATAAATAAATAAATAAACTGGCTGGAGTTACAGTGAAATATTTTTGCATTAGTTAATTTCATGTTTGAAAATATAATTCAGAATTTAGTTATAAATCTATTCAATAAGCACTTAAATGACTCCTCTCTGCTTAACTACTGAACTTTAAAATCTGTGAAAATGTCATTACCACATGACCAGATAAAATTACTTCAAATTAACTTGTGAAAATTATAAAATCTAACAAAGATACAGATTTTTACCATTCACATGAACAAACTCTATTACATGCCTATCACTAACAGTACTAGGACAACTAAGCATATAACTAATAAGGCATATACAACAGGTACTGTCACTCAAAAGTCTAATTATAGCAAATTCTCAACCATCCTTGTAAATGAAGGACTTTACAGTCTGAGAAAGGGGTAAAGACCTTACTCCACTCAATTCTTTCTATAATCTAGCTATCTTATTTGAGATTAAATCTCTTCCTCCAAAGGAAATGGTAGGAAAAAAAAGGAACTATGGGCAAGATATTAAAGAGGTTTCTAAAACAAGATTGTTAATTTGCAAACAAGTTTTCCAAGCTACACATAAATAAAAGGTGAATACTTTCTATAGTTCAGAGCTAATTTCTAACTCTTTCTACATATATGTATATGTACATATGTAAATTATCTTTGTATATGTGTATA